ACGCCATCATTCAGTAACATGATGTCAAAGGACCAAGTTGCCGTTGCTAGTCATAAAAGAAAGATCGCAGAACTTGCTCGAGCTATACGTAAAAAGTATCTTACTTTAAAGTTAGGTCGAACTGCAGAAGATGAATCTATTAGAAAACTTTTCAAACCATATCTGAACCTCTTAAGCAAATAGCTAAGACTCAGCAGTATCCTTCATTTAGTATTAAAAAAGAGGGAAAATTGAAACAGGATGATGATGATGATAATGATGATGATGATGTATTCACACAGAACCCAAACTATCTCAATTTAGAAGACGTGGCTTCAACTGATGAACAAGGTAATATACCGCCGAGACCTGAAACACCACCACTACCTGAAGAAATGCGTCCTGCTGATTTTTCACAAGAAGCAATAGAAGAATACTTAGATCAATATCCCCCAATAAGCCATAATTATTTACAAGATTTTTGGACACAAAACGATAAAATTGATAAAAATTATGGACCTATATATACCGACAACATTGGTTGGATGTTAGGTAAACGCCGAATTAAATTTGATAGAGCGACTGGCCAAATACAGATATTACCTGAGGGGACAAACTTAGCAGGTACATGGTTTCGTGGCACACCTGGGCTGTATCAACTTTTATTCTATAATGACCCAAACTATGCAGATGCAGATTTACAACCCTATAAAAATCTATTGCAAAGTACCGGTGTTCATTTAGATTCGCTTGGACGCCTAAAAGGTTCGACAGGATTTAAATATAATCACATTATTAAGCCTCTCTTTAAAGATGTGCAGAAAAATAAAGGTACAATTGTCACACGATCAACATCTACAAAAATACGTAGTCCACTTAGTCGATCATTAACAAGATCCACTCCCTCAACAACAACAACAACAACAACATCATCAACATCAAAACCGCCAACAGGAAAAGGTATCGGTGATTACTTGACATACAACGAGGAACCAATCGAATACGTGTACTGGGATGATCCCAATGAATTAATCGATCGACTTAAACTCCTTATGGCATCTCAGGAAGCTGGCAATACGTCGCATGATAATGAAATAGTAGCCATCCTCAACGAGCTAAAAGAAGCTAATATAATACAGTAATCTAGTTCCTTGGTCTTTCATTTACACGATGAGTCTTGATAAATTCGGACGTCGCTTTGATAAACAAAAGACACTTCCGTATATGCGTACACCGCCAAAGTTAACACTACCCCATACTTCTGATGGAAATGTTGACTTCAAGAACGTAAAGTTTGTGTAATATAAAAGATCCCACAGATAATTCAGATGCGGCAACTAAAAATACGTAGATACTTCAGTGATTGATTTAAAAAAAATAACAGCAAAACAGATCAAATAACAGAGTTTATTTCGAGAAATCCGCCTACTTCTGGTAAACATATGGCAACAAAAAAATATGTAGATGACTCTATTGCAAATATAACAACAAGAATAGAACAGGAGTTGGCTACAATTAAGTCTCATACCGATTTGACTCCAATACGGAAAAATATCATTGATTTATCCTCTGAATTACAACTTTTGCAAGGACGCACATCATATATATCATTGAAAACATTCGATCTTGCTAAGCGTATAAAGCCGATGGAACAACAATTTAAAGCGTTAAAACATGATGACGTACGCCAAGGAGAAGCTACAACTAGTTAAACGAGCTGCACAAGCCTGCTCGAAAAAATTATCTAAGACGACGTACCATCATTAAAGGCTTAGACGATTTATGGCAGACGGACTTGGCTGAAATGCGACCTTATGCTCATCAAAATAAAAATTTCAAATTAATTCTCGTCGTAATCGATTCTTTTTCCAAGTTTATGTGGACTAGACCGTTAAAGACAAAGACGGGTGAGGAGATAACTCGTGCGTTTTCGGATATCCTCGCACATACGGAACGTACGCCGAAAAATCTACAATCTGATCAAGGTAA